ACACACACAAACATACACACACATACACACACACAGACGGGGTCGTCTCAATATGCGTTTTTGCAACTTGCATGTAGGCAAAAACGCATAAAAACCGTTAAACAGAAATTTTTCATTTTACTTTATGCAAAATCAACAATGATTTGCGCTAGTGAGCACGCTGGGTAAGTGTAAGCAAGAATCAGTCATATAGTTAATGACCTAATTGCTTCAACTTTATTGCAAACAATCATGATCGTACCGGTAGGCCTGGTTCGTCCCATCCTGCGACTTTTTCTTCTGCTTGAACATTTGTGAAAATCCTGTTGAATACTGAGTCAATCAGCTGCGGGAAAGCAAAGTTACATCGGAAGTGTGCTTTAGTCGTATTTGTTTTCACTTGAAACTTGTGTCATAGTCCCGTTGCGCCGTTAAAAAGTACGCATACTCGCATTATTTTTTCAAAACGTCAAAACTCTGTTAATCTTTTAGAGCCTCAGAGCTCTGCTAATATTTGTAAACTTTGATCTGGGTGATCCCAGCTTGATCGTTTTGAACCTAGTGGCCACATTTTTAACTAGCTGTCAAATGTTTTAATATCGTTTTTAGGTTATATCAAAAGACGATCATAACTGGTGGCAAGCTCGTTACATTTGTCCATTCCCAGCTTTAGGAAGTAGCGGTCCAAGCGGATCTCATACACCAGGCGCATCCGTTGCTGGTTTGATACCTTCTCCGGAACTCCAGGAATGGAGGACTGCTTGTTTGGCGATGGAACGGGCCAAAGATAATAGTAAGTTACCACTTTAGAATTGTTGTTTAAATTGTCTTGTTATTTTATGAGCAGCGTTTAAAAAGATAACGTGATTATTAATGGTTCCTTTCTTATTTTTCAACAGTACCTTATTTTTCCATTTTCGTAATTCTTTTTGATCTTGCTTGAAAGGTTTTTGAACTTTATCGAGAACGCTATATTTTCAAGCACTACTGATGACTTGTTTAGCGCACTGTATGTGGTTTAATAAAAAGAAAAAATATTACACAACAAAGTATCTACAGAAGCATTCCGCCTTATTCGATCAGCTCGATCTCGTCACTTATGAAGAGGTTTCTATCAATTCTCACGCTTTTTTGCATTCGAGCAGGCAACAGATGCATTTTAACAAGACCGTGTATGTATGAGTCTGTTTTTCTGTTTGTAACACAAATGTTCGCAGATGTTAGGAGGTTAGAATTTGAGAACATAGTTCTAGTCGTGTACTAGCAGAGAAGTGTAATTTGGGTCCTCAACTTTTAAACTATTGCCTTACCATTTGCATAATCGTTTTTGTAACTGTTTAAATAGTCGTTCCCTACATACTGTTGTTACAGGTAATACGGCTAGCAACATACAGACGTAAAACGCTGGTGCTGTTAGGTGCGCATGGTGTTGGCCGGCGACATATCAAAAATACGCTTATTCATAGGCATCCGCAGAGGTTTGCCTATCCTATACCACGTAAGCTTTCACTGTGTTTTCCATTATAATTTGGTTGTTCGGTTTTTATAAAATAATAACTTGCTGGATTCTGAAGCTATAGTAGCTATTTTATTTTGGATAAGAAATTGAGTAGGAAACAAATTAAATTTGAAAAAATAATTCTCTCTCATTGACTAAATCACACGTTAAAATGAACCCTTTACAATTTCAACTGCTTTTGAATGGTGCTTAAAAATCAAAACGCAAAAAGTCTTGGAGGCTGTTTTGAAATTTTTGACCTGCACATCAGTAGTCAATATTCTCAAAACAATAGCTTCCCAATTTACACAGTTTTCGAATCGAATTGTACGCGCATAAATGTAAAAACTAACAAACATACAAACATAAGCACCTAGATACACATGCACAGATATATGTAGGTAGGTGCATGGCAGTAACACACTAACATGGACCACCCAAGCTGGTCGTCAAGAATTTCTTCGTGTACATCTGTATTAAGCTTTTGCACACCAGTTACAAATTTTCAATGTCAGTTTTCAAATGTTATGTTCTTGAGAGTGTTGGGGGCGTAGAAGTTGATTTTATATGTACTTGCGCATTATGCGAACGAACTTCACAAAAGCTTTTTGGCTAAGTTATTATGGAATTATGATTCCATTAGCATCGATTTCCACGTATTCGTACAGTAGACGTGTACTACACGGAGGCTGAATTTAAATTCTTTGGGTCAAGCATGTGTAATGGGCATATTTGTAAGCCGAAATTAATTGTCCTCTAAAATATATTTGGCGTGATTGTATGCGTAGTATAGGCGTTCGAGAACACTAATTTTATGCCTATGAGTCCCAGCACTGACGGCAGATATTCTCATAAAATTGCAGCTTTCTAGCTAGTCCGGCTTCAAGTTAGCAAAATGGCGGCAATGTCTTTGAAATTTCATGTGTCCGTAGGCATGGTTGGAGACAATTGATGGCTAAATTTAAATGTGAGCGATGGATTAGATCGATGGATTAGATTTCCATAGCGATGGATTAGATTGCCAAAATCTCAGCTTCATGGCTTTCGTAGAGTGGAAATCAAAACACGCGAATGGACACATATGCACACATGCCTTTCCCTGCATAAATGCGAAAAACTGATAAAAAGCAGTGACGAGTGACAAAGTTATTACAAACTGTCGTAAACTTACGTTGTTGGTAATTGTTGATTGATAGATACAACAAGGCAGCCAAGGAAGGATGAAATTGACGGGAAGCATTACTATTTCGTATCCAACGATTGCATGCTTGCTGATATTCAAGCGAACGAGTATTTGGAGTATGGGACACATGAAGAATGTATTTATGGTACAAAACTAGAAACCATTCGAAACATTCATAGGACTGGCAAAATGGCCATCCTGGATGTTGAACCTCAGGTAATGTTTCCAGTTTTCGCGCTAACAATTCTGCTACAATTGTTATTTTGCAACCGTCTATTTTTTGTAATTCACCTTCGTTGTTTTTGCAGTTGTATCTGTATCTATCAGACTGCGATAAAAACCGCATGAAAGCAGTGAGGCTGGATAAGCTATTAATGCAAGCGTTTGCGTGTGTGGGTGTCTTTGTATGTGTTTGTGTGTGAACCCACTTTTGTGGATGGGCGTACTAGGAGCGTACGAAGCTTGTTTCTGAAATGTCTTTATCGCTTGTGCGAATATGTACCAAAATTTAATTCGCCTGCATTTTCAGGCTTTAAAAGTTCTCAGGACAGCAGAATATGCTCCATTTGTCGTTTTCATCGCCGCGCCGAATTTACAGGGCTTACAAGATGTTCGTCTTCCAATTTTTATTTTCAAGCATTTCATTCACTTGTTTAAAAAAAAATTAGTCTGCTATGAGTTCAGGCCGCCTTCTTTATCAGATCTCATAGGCCGCCAGTTCTGGTGGATGATCGTCATGGTGGGAACTTATTTTCCGTAAGGTACGACACTCAGAATGGTAGAATCGTGCCAATACTATTAACACTGGCGAATGCAGGCAGGAGCGCGGGCGAGGGGGAGGAGAGGCGATAGGTGCGTCGCCTCCCCAACTGCACGGGTAGGAGTTGTTTTACTGTATAAAACTCTCTTCGATGCCCCCTGTTCCTCCCTCCCCTCCCCCCCCCCCCCCCCCCCCCCCCCCCCCC